ATCCCTGCTCCGCCGGCACAGCCGGCACCTGCCCAGCCTCTCCCCAAGCAGCGCCTGCCCCAGCTCAGCCTAGAACCCGCTCCCCAAAGCCTGTCCTGAGTCCTTCTAGACCCTTTCTAGTCTGCTCCTCGTCTGGAGCGGGGGTGTTTATGGAGACAGCGTATCTAACACGGGGCTGGTCCCACTGTCACCCGCCTGGTGCGGTGTGTCCTGTTTGTGCCTGGGACTGACACTGCCCGAGGAGCCCAACACCCACCTCCATCCTGGTGTCTCCTGCAGGGAGGCTGTGAGATGGGGGACACATCCAGCCTTCGCCCTGCAGCACGACAGCTGGCGCCGCGGACTCTCAACCTCCCTGGGATCAGTGCCTGCCTCTGCTCCCCACTGCACCAGCACCCACCAGTGCCCGCCAGCACCCACCAGTGCCCGCCAGCACCTCTCGCAGGAGCACCCGGATGAGCTGGGCAGGATCGAGGCCGCTCTCCGCTGCCGAAAGCCCACAGCCCGACTGTGCTAGCTGCAGCGTCAGCAATGCGCCATATCCTGCCTGCTCCGCAGCTCCCTGCCCAGCTCCGATATCCCAGGGACCGCCAGGCCTGATCCTCCTCTCACGCTCATTTTACACTGGAGCCGCTCTCGATCTCTAGGATAAAACTGTATGGATTTGAGCCTGGGCTTTGCTCGGCGCTTGCGCTTCGTGGGAACCCCACGGCTTTCCCCAGAGACAATAAAGCCTCCCTGGTTTGGCACAAGACCTGGCCCTCCGGGCAGAGGCTCCGTCTTTTGAGACGGCACCAAAACCCCACACCTGCCCAGAGCCCCGACAGGGCCAGGATTGCAGGGCTTTTCACACTTTACACCCCAAAAGAAGCTTGGGCCGTGTTTGCTCTGTCTGCTCAGCACCCGTCACCCTGAGAGCCCACCAAGAGGGGCTGGAAAAGAAGGACCCTTCACTGCTCTCCCTGAAGCCCGTGCAATGGCCTTTTCCCTCCGGTGCCAAGCTCCCTTCCCCGCAAAGGTGCAATTCTCTGCTGGGGCCATGTCAACCCTGCCGCCTCCGCGGGTCCGGATGCTGGTGAGCAGCAAAGCCCCCCTGCACCATCTGTCCGCTCCCACTGACACCCCAGCGAAGGACTGAGGAGCAAGGGAAGGTCTGTCGCGTGGTGGGTGGCAGTGCCCCGCTCTCCTCCCACCGCTCCCAGGCTGCTTCCCAGCCTCTTTTACCTCGATGGCCTTGTAGAAGATGCTGTTCCCGATCTGGACCACCTCCAGGTTCTGCTCCTGCTCGTTGCGGGCACATTTGATGTAGGTCATCCAGCTCCGGTGGTCCTCCTGGCTGGCATCGATGAAGTACCGCACGGTGCCGTCTTCGTTGAAAACCTGCGAGGGAGAAAGATGGGTCGGTAGCATCGCTGCCCGGGGTGGATTAAGCTCCTCCATCCCTGCCTGGGGGAATCGTGCTGCCGGGGGCAGGTGATGCTTTGGAATAAAGTCCCTGGCCAGGGGGACTGCAAAGCCAGCACGGCCTCGGCGCGAAGGCCCTGCAGGCAGCTGAGAACCGCTGCCTCTGCACAGGATGTGGCCG